AAGCACTGAAACACACACACACACACACACACACACACATACACACACCTGCAATGGACAACCATGGGTCCAGCATCTGGAGGGTTGCAGGCCTTGACCCTGCGTAGGAAAGCCAGGAAGGGGGTGGGGTGTTCAGGCACCCCGTGGTCTGGCCAGGCCGTGAACTGGAAGTGACGAACCTCACGCTTCTCATTGGAGCCGCTCTGGACAAGCAGACAGACAAGAGTGTTAAAGGTAAATGTGGTATAAATGTACCAAAATGTATATGAAATCTATGTGTAAACTGCTGAATAATGGTTATGTCTTCCATTGGATTACCCGAAAGGGTCATTGCAACCTTTATGCACTCTTTGACATTAGAGTGGTTCCAGACTCTCTTGTCGTAAAGATTAGAAGACCTTGGGGAGTCTCAATTTCTTGAGATATGCTTGATGGAGACTGGATTCTGTTGTTTGAACAAGATAGCTAAGAAGAGCCTACATGTCCCTCTTTATGATCTAGTATATTGATTCTATTGGAAATGTTTTTGTCAACTAAAACGTATGCAGCCTAAGCAGGCACCAGACTGTTTCTTTATTCATCAAAATAGAATAGAATACAGACCTGAAAGTTCAGTTTAAGTCATCAATCAAGCTGGTTATAATCCTAAAATACTAAAACCCACAATGTGTTACAAATACAGTTTTATTTCATTTGAAAAGAAGGCTTACTAAAACAGGAATGCATTCATTTTGGGGGATTATTTATATTAATATACTTTTGGTGTTCTAGTGAGTATTTACAGCAGCAGGAGGGTGTATGTAGGATTGACTCAAAAAATTGGTGTTAATGGTAATAAAGGAACATGTCACTTAAAACTACAGCGTGGCTCATTGATGTGTTTTTAATCATTTTTTGGGCAACAATGATGGTCTGTGCAGAGGGATAAGCTGCAGTATATCAGGCTTTTGCTACACAGACAATACTTAGCTAATAATTCAAAAATAAAATAAGCCACTATTACGTGAAGAACCACTTTAAATCTTACTGGGAAGATCAATCATGAATGAAGAAAAAACATTTCTCATGAGGTTGTTCGTCATGTTGGGTCACACATACAGGAAACTGTATATTCATGTACAAACTGTGACATGGCCTCAGAAACACACAAACCAGCATATAATAAATATTTCAACAGATCAAAACACACATGACCCCATTACACTCCACTGCACATCACGTTACCTTGTAAAGCGCGAAGGTCCTGACAGAGTAGGTGGCCAGCTCCACTGTGTCCAGCAGAGTGACCTGGATGAGGCCGTACGTCTCTGTGCCCCGTGTTGGCCAGTACTGATCACACTTCACCTACAAGGGAAGAGGGAAGATGCTGTGAGAGATGCAGAGCAGTTCATATATGTCTGTGCACATTTTAGTGAAAGAAGAGAGAAAGAGAGAGCTGACTTGGATGCAAGTGTACATGTACAGAGGCAAAAAAAGAAGGGGAGTCTTGAAGCAGTTTAGTGAGAGAGTTTGCAGAGTTCAGACAGTAATGCTTGGAAAAAATGTGCATATAGTGGGAACCCAGCGTGTGAGAGGGGTTTTAGTAAGTGTGTGGGGTGAAGAGTGACAGAGAGAGAGAGAGAGACAGAGAGAGAGAGAGAGAAAGAGAGAGAGGTCTGCTTTCTAGGGTGTGATCCTGCATAAGTTGTTTCAAATACTAGAAAACGGTATGGCATGAAGTTACCATAGATTGGTGGGCTCTCGCAAAGATCCACCACAGAGCCGGAGAAGCCAAGTGACACCTAAATTTCAGCCCCCATATACATCGGCATACACTCCAACCTCACAAATACCTACAAAACTACACCCCGCGCATCAAATCCCAGAATCCATAACCATCAAAACACCTAGAATTCCCCTGTAGAAGGCGGTCATATTTGTAGTTCTTCAGCTCAGCCTCAGAGACCACAAAGGAGAGAGGAGGAAAAAAATCCCAGAGGAGGGGGAAGAGGGGAGGAGGGCCTTGGCAGAATCAGGCCAAACCAAACGTTATGTGCTGATCCCTCCAGTCCTCACATCAAAGACAGCAGGGAGCTCAGCTCAGCTCGCTCTGCATTCCACTGCTCCAGACTGGGGATTATGCGTTTTGGCCTGGGACGTGCAGGCTGTAATTACAGCTTTTCAACTGTTGTTTTCCCACCAGACCTTGAGACACTGTGGGGACAGGAATGGTCGTCCATGTAGGGGGGCTAGACCACTGCCAAAGACTAAACAGGATCGCAGTAAATGCCTGGTGTGAAGACTATATTATCCATTGATATATGGACTAACAGCATAACTGCGCTCTGCTCTTGTGTGGTTTAATTGGCGCTAAAAGGAAGGATACTGGCAAGATTCCCACAGTGTGGCCATCTGTGATCATCTGTGTTGTTAATGCATAAACACATAACGGGGTAATGTTGAGAGGTGTTAAATGAGATTAAATCATCTTCTCCAACAAGCAACCCACTACTCCCTCAAACAGTAGATATGGAGGTAGTAGGCTAAGAATAAACAGCTAAGTACATTCAGATTGAATGTTTTCATTGTTGCATAATGTTGTGAGTACTTTATTGAATTAAGAGAACTTAAAGCCAAACACTGATTCACTACACTACAGATTCATCATGTTTACGAGACAGTAGCAGAAGGCTGATTACAATTAGGTGATCTGCAGTCCTTCACTCAGTACAGAATTTTTTTATACAGCTTCAACATGCACAAAATTGTCTTTCTTTAATGGCTACATCCTCTACTGCATAGCCACTAGACAGGAAAAAAGAAAAACAGTTGTGGGTGTGATCATGCAAACTGTAGACACTAATGTGCACTGTTACTGAACTGCAGTGGTTAGAATAAAACCCATAGTGCTTTGTGGTGAGCTGAAAACAATTCTGCATTCTCACTCAATGCACTCGCTATTACACAGGAAAAAAGGGAGGAAACAGCAGAAAAAAGGGCACTGAATATAGAAAAAAAAGGTAAGGAAAAAACCATGTGAGGTGAGGTTGCATTTTAAAAGGGATTAGCAAAGGAGAGAAAGAGAGGTCTTGCCTTAGAGAAGAAATAAGAGGGCATCTGAGGGTCAAACAGACACAACAGAGACAGTTGGAAAAAGTTGAAAAGGAAACAGAGTTTTAACACAAGACACAGGTTAATAGGAAAAGAAGCACAGATGAGAGGAAAGGATCATTTTCTGAACAGGGCTCTGGACATAATTGGTTAGCACTTAATCATGATTCATACCTCAAGCCATTCTTGTTCATTTTATTCTAACATGACATTCTCATTACATTGAATCTTTACTCAAGCGCATATTCTGTTAACAACAGCAAAATGCCTTGAAGCTAAATCATTTTCTAATTCATTACCTACCCCCACTTTAGCTGTACTTGTAATGCTCACCAATCTACTCTATTATATTCTACTGTATTCTATTCTATTCTGATCAACTACATGCTACCTCGTGCTATCCTCCTATGTCCCCTCTAACTTCTCATTTAGCCACAGCAATTTTAGCTTGGTCACTATAATGATGTCAGCTGCTTTTCGGTTTATTCTATGAACTATTTTTGTACTACATGACGTGTCCTGGCATTTACTCTTATGTACTCTCCTTGTCTGCCCTGTTCTGTTGAATCCATCTGGACTCTTCTTTCCTTCCACATGTTTAAAAATGAACCTCCTGCCCTTTCCTGGTCTGTTTTGTACCTCCTGTCAAACCAACCACATCCAATCCTACGCTTATTCCCTTCTAACCTAACGGTAATTTATTCTTCTTATTTCACTGTAATTTAACCTTCAAAAATGATCACGCCCTACTCACCTCTCTCCTTCCATTTTTAATCACGCTCAACCTGACACCTCCTCATCCTATCTGGAAGAGGTGAGGAGGTTTCTGTGCTGGCCCTGGGTCATCTGGTTGCACTTTACACTACATTTGACTCCTGTTCTTCTGAGAGCTGCTGAGCTACACAAAATTCCCCCCCAAAACATTTGAAAAGCACGCTGGCTTTGCTGAAGCAAAGAAATAATGCACTACTTTGTACAGCATTGCAATGTACAGTGGCACAGACGAAGGAAATAAAGGTCTGCCGCACTCTTAACGCAGGGGGTAATAGTATTAGTAGTAGTAGTAATAGAAGTGTTTGTAGTACTTTTTGGGTTTTCTGTGTTTATTGTAAAATATTTGTTGGTGACAATAAAATCTGTAAAAATATGTTTTTGTTTCACTTTGCACAAAAAAAGTTATCTTGGGATGACATTAAAGGTGGGGTAAGCCATTCTGGATAAATCCAAAACCATGACAAATACTATGATATATAGTGCGCACAACGACACAGCAAGTAATATAATTAATGTTAGCAATGTTGTGGGTTAGCAAACTGTAGCTAACATTCAAACCAGAACCAGAACTAGCACACCAGCTCCTAGAAAAAAACGAGAAAAAAGCTGAATGTCTATGGGCAACGGAAAAACGCTACCTGACACACAAATCCTGGCTGGAATAACAAGTGTTGTGTTGTGTTGGTCTGATCCACTTTGGTTCCCATTTACAGAGCCAGGGTTGTGTGTTTTGTGTTACTGGATCATGAGGAGATATTTGCCGAATTTAAAAAGAAAGTCTGTTGGTTTAAAATCACATTACCTGAAATCGCTAACCCCACCTTTAATGGCCTTGTTACGCTTCAACTACCACTTAGCTACGTAGCCATTGTTAGTGGTAGTGGCACGTTTGGCTGGAGAAAGTTGTTCACGCTGCATGCCCTACCTTTTTTACGCTACTTGACCCAACACTACTACGTGTATGTACTGTATACCTTATCTTATCCTACATTTCTGCTACCTTATGCCACTGAACTCTTCCGTACCATTTGATATGGTGATATAATACCCCACACCATTTATTCCACAATGTGGGGTATGGGACCTGCCCTTGCTGGTCCCATACCCCCATGTTATTCCACTGCCTTTTTCTTACCCGTGACTTCTCTTCCAGCTTGGTCATCATGACAATGTTGGCTGTGTGCTGCTCCCAGACCATCCTCCAGAACTCCCCAAAAGTCTCAGGGAGGGATCCCTGAGTGGCGATATAGGCATTCTGACGGCGGTAGCCATCAACATAGTTAGCGTTGATATAGTCACTGCCTGGGACACCTGCATGATAAAGAAAAAGGGGAATTTACGGTGGGTGAAGAAAATGGGAAGAGATGTGAGCAAGGTGAGGATGGGAATGAATTGTGACGGGTCGAGGTGGGAGAGAAAGGGGAGAATAAACAGAGGGGAACAGGTGGGTGAAATAGATGAAACAGATGCTGAAATACTCTGCGTACATGTCTATCCAATCTATCTATCTTTGCAGATGAACCTGATTCTTATTCTGATTCACGGTGAAATAATCTATATGGATTATTTAAAGTCTTCTGAAAGCATTAAAGCAGGTTTATGTCCCAGTAATAAAGGGTACGGATCATCTGAGGTCATGGCAGGGAGATTAATGTTTTCACAGGGCCAAGCGTCCTTTGGTGTTGGATTGTTCAGCCGTCTTGTTTTATAATACATGCTAAGACGATCATGGGCCTAATCTGAGTATACTCTGGATGTGTCGCTTTGAATGGCAATATGACTGTAAGGCCGTCTCTGTGTAAGACTCGGCTGACACTGCTTGTCCTGGAAGGGATTGTGTGTATGCGTGTGTGCGTGTGATGTGAGAGACCGTCTGTGTGTGTTTGATTTAGGATCAGTCCTGCTCATCTGGGGCCTAATACCATAATCCCAAAAATCACTGAGTCATAGCTCAAACATGCACACGTACACCGAAACACCAAAGCACACACACAGACATACACACAGCCGCGTACGCGTGCATTCAGCCGTGACCCGATTCTGCCGAAGTGGGACACAAAACTCCTTTTGAGTCGTGTGATAGCAGTTTACATTTGAAAAGATAGAAGTCAATGAGCAAACAGTAGAATCCCGACAGGAAGAAAGTCCTGCAACTGATTCTCTTTTTGCAGCTTATTTTATGAACACCACTCAGTCCCATACACTCGTAAAACCCCAAGCCACCATTGCACACACACACACACCCCCCCACACACACACACGTTTAAATGACAGGGGAGTACAGAGTGTTTATACAACTTATTTTAAATAGGATGGGGACAGACGGCTTCGAACATATGTTTATCAACCTCAGTCTTTAAAAGACAGCTTGCCTAAATGCTTTGATGTGCTACAATTTTATAGAAAGGGACTACAGCAGAAGCACACTGCAGATAAAACACACACACACACTTCCAGTCACTTGGTGGCCACACTGGCTTGGCAGAGAGTGTGCGTTCATGAGCATGTGCGGAGGAGACTGGGAGCAAAAGTGCATATCTGTGCTTGTGCACATCCTGGGCATGTGTTTTAAATCTATAGTAGAGTGTGTGTGTGTGTGTGTGCGCTCTTGTGTGTTTGGACATGCTCAAGAGTATATGTGTTTTCTAAGCTGAAAGAAAGACAGACAGCCAGGGCTCCAGGACAGGCGGGGGTGGAAGAGCTGCTCACACATGCTCTGCCCAGATAAGGCTCATCTGTTTGGGCTTGGCCTCCCACTGCCTCCCTCTCTCCACATTGGATCTGCCAGTTTCTCTGCCTTAGGTCTTTCCCAGCTGAGGTGAGTGAGTGCGCTTCAAAACGCACACTGAGAACAGGACTGAGACATTTTTTTTCTTTTCATTTTAGACCATTTAAAAAGGAGCGCACCATGAAAATATATTGGTAAATAGGTTATAAATAAAGTGTAAGCCTAATAGATCTCCATAAACATTTAAATCAGTCCTTTAAAGAAGTTAGGAAGTGATCAAAATGCCCTCACTTCCTGAAAATGTAATGTCAATCTCAAGTGAGTGCTCACACACACAGTATAAGAAGTATAAGAGCTCAGAGACACACGCAAACACACTGGCGGCGTGTCTTACCCTCAATGCTGGAGAGTATAACCCTGGAGTGATCATAGGCAATGACGTTAGCATAGCGGTTCTTTGGTTTGTTGACCTCTAGGTTGGAGTTCTCCCATGTGAACTGCTGACCGGGGTCGACGGACTACCAGAGGCAAAAGACAAGATCAGAACAAAGAAAAAACATCAGCAGAAAACAAACAGACTTGACAGACTTGTCGGGTTATCCATTTTTCTAAATTCAGTCTGTTTTGGACAGTGTTTGCATGCTTAATAAGTTATTTTTAAAAAACTTTTGGTTTTAATGCTTTGGTTTTAAAACTTAAGTTTATTACTGGCTTTCAAATGGTCATACCAGCATGTGGTATGTCAGTAACAATATATTCTGACAAATGGTCACTGCATGTATGATTGAGGCCATTCATTGCGGTAAAGGAAAAATTCTCTTTTTTGCTTGGATTGTTACTAAAATGGTAGTATTGATCAATCAGAGCTCACTCTTATTGCGAACTTACTGAGAAGTAATAATTGTGTACCCCTTTCAAACTTGATTCTCTAATAATATGATGCATACGCTAAAAGCATCAGCAGCAAGACTGGACAGTTCTATGAATTTGAGCTTACAAGCACTGTCCAGTGTTGCTGCAGGAAAACCACACCATTAGAAAGTACAAATTGAAAATTAACACAGAATTATTGAACTTGGACTGGAATGTCGGCAAATATAATATCCCATTTCAAGCAACAACAGTGATGTTGGGACTTTCCGCTTTCCACCAAGAAAAAAAAAAAAAAACTAGCTACCAGAGAAAGATGATAAAAGCACAATAAATTCCTCTGGGAGAGAAAGGATGGTTGTGTTAGACCAACACATTAAGTTCCTGGAGGGTAATTACAGTGTAACCACTGCTGTTAGCTGGGAGAGGCAGACATGAGGTCATTATGGGGCTGTCAATGGAGAGGGACGAAGAGGAGAGAGCCAGAGCAATTTAGCAATTCTGAATATTTTACGACATAATTATGGTTTGGTTTGGGGAAAAAATGGACAGGAGTGGTACTGGATGAGTGCATGTGTGTGTGTGTGTGTGTTTGAGATTGCTGCCCAACATCATGTGTGTCTGATTATTACACCGCAATCATTTCTGGCCTCTCTCTCTCCCTCAATCCCTCCTCTATCCATCTCTCTCGTTCCCTCGTTAAGGGTTCAGTACCGAACAAAGCACACAGTCATGCAGAGAGAATGTGAGGCTCAACAGAGTGGTTCCAACTCATACCACAATTACATATGGCTTCTCTCTCGCTGTCTCTTCCACCCTCCTTTATCCTCTCTCCCAACGCTTTTCTCCCTAAAACATCCTCACTCTGTTTTTCTGCTCTTTGCATAATGTGTCCTTGTCTTCCTCTATATACGCGTCTTTGTCGCACACAATTTGTCTCTCTCTTGTGGTAGCCAATTAGAGCCTTATGTCTCCTTCTTCACCCAGAGGCCGTCGGTCTAAACTGATTTTTTTTTTCACAGGGAAAAGAAAACATTTTTACCCCTTTAATAGCTCTCTGTGGAGCTCATTGTAATACTAGCACTATTTGCAACAAAGCCAGCATGTTGGGAAATATTTCTACTGATGTGGTTTTTTTTCTCATTTAATGCCACAGTTCAGCACACCAAGTTCGGGCACATTGTTATCTCCAAGTAGATGTCCTTTTTTGGGGTTTCACATTAACTGTGCTGCAAGTTGGGAGAAACTAATCACGGAGCTTTTTATTTTTTTATTTTGCAGAGAACACTTGCTTCCTGTATCTCTTGGTGATTCTGTCGCTGCCTCTTTATTTCTATCTCTGTTTCGCCTCTTTCTCCACCAGAGCGTATAAATGAGGGCTTGATAACCATCTGGCTGTAAGCAAACTCTCTTTGAGCTTGCAATTTCAATTTCCCACCCCTTATATTTGTATAGATAACAACAAGACAGTAGAGAGAGGAAAATGTGCTTTATCTTGTATCGTTCTATGAAGACAAATCAAAATGCAACTTCACTGTAGAGACGATGTGAAGCTGAATCTACGGCGCTCACCATTGAAATTGAAACGGAGCAAAAAAATAAATAAAAATGATGAGTCAATGATAAATATGTGTGTGACTGCATCAAAACCAGATGAATTTCCCAAGTTAAAGATTTTCAGGGACAGATAATCAGCATTCCTACCTCGTACTCTTGAGAGAACTTGAGATTGTCGTTTGCCTTGAGGCGCTCAATGTGATCTGCCAGCTCAGAGATGGGGATGGGCGGGTGACTTGCCATGCCTGCCGAGCACAGAAACAGAAAAGGAGGCCATTTCTATACATGTACCAACTAAACTCTTTTGGACGAAAATGTTAAGAGGAAGGATTCTCAGAGGAGGTGTTGTTTAGTGTTCTGTCCGCAGTCAGTGGAGGAAGCAAATGGAAATGTTTTTTGTTTTTTTTGTTAAGTGACCATTTTCTCTCCAGGCAGAAAGAAAGAACAATGTGCGTGTTGTGAAAGTTACTGAGGCACAGTAACATGTCCTTAGAGTATATGCACACTGCTGGTGAAGATAAAAAAAGAATATGACACAGGCGGTTAAAAATTTAGCATGAAATATTTTGGGGGGATTTTTAAAGAAGTATTCCAGAGGCGTTTCGATGAAATGTTGTCAATTCAAGCAGCATCATCCTATATGGGATGGAAGGTTAGTTAGCATGAAAATGAGAAAGAAAGAAGTAAAGAACAGAAAGGAAGAAAGAAAGAAAGAA